ATAGAAGGGTCTTTTTCGCCACGGGTGCATCATGGTGATGGGCGTTTTGCGCGAGGAGGGTAGCAGCCTACTGGCTCTGTTGGAGGCGTTTGTACACGATCCACTTGTGTCTTGGTGGCGTGATGAGGGAGGAAACGACAGATGCACAAACAACAAGGATAATGCGAAGCAGTCTACTTCAATGACAGGTTCACTGCGTGCCAGTCATGAGGAATATGATGTGGGGAGTGTACACGGAACCCAGAGATCCCTGCATCGTCGGGGGGCAATCTCGCGTGTATGCATCCAGGGAGAGGAGATAGCACTACAGCAGACTCGAAAGGCTCAGAGTGTTGTGAATCGTATCAAGGAGAAACTTGAGGGGTTTGACTTTTTTCATGACAGGCCGAGTCGCGGCGATGATGGCCTTACTGTTGAGGAGCAGGTTTCAAGACTGATTCAGGAGGCCACTTCCAATGAGAATTTGTGCGTTCATTTCTCGGGTTGGTGCCCATTTTGGTAGGAAAAAAGCAATACAACAGCAACAGAAGGCTCAAAGGGCCAAAAGGGTGAGAAGCAAAAGGTGGTGGTGGTGGGGTATGTGAAGGGACACAAATACACACAGAATGCGCGAAAAAAAGAAAATAAATGAAAGCGGCCGGGGAGGAAAATGAACAATAAAATTATCGGCAACAAATAACGAGGAGATCATATATGCGGAGGATAAGGAATGAAATTTGTTGTCACACCACGGCATAAATGGGACGCAACGGCCTTGAGCGATCTCCCACTCTTTTTTTTTTTTTTTACAGTTATTGTTGATGCCTCAGTAAAAATCATCACGGGGTGTAGTTGCCATTTTACCCCGACCTTCTTTCAACTCCCGTCTCCGATTCAATTGCGAGATACCTTTTTTTTCTCTTTTGAACTCCTCAGCGCCAAGCGACAGGCTTTGGAGAAGAACACAAATCATGGCTGACGAAACACGGGTTGAGAAGCAAGGTGAGGAACCCACCGTCACTCAGCAATTTGACGTGGAACCCGAAAACCTTAGAGATGCCATCCGCATTGTCGTTCGCAAGTCACTGGAAGTAAACGGTCTGGTGCGAGGCCTCTCTGAAGTTGCTCGCGCTCTGGACCGCCGTACTGCTCACATGTGTCTTCTTGCCGCGGACTGCGAAGACGAGGAGTACAAGAAGCTCATCAAGGCGCTCGCCAGTCAGGCCAACATCGATTTTGTCGAGGTGGAGTCACGTGAGGAACTTGCAGAGTGGGCCGGTCTTCAGAAGCAGAAAAGCGACGGCAGCGTAAAGACCTTTAAGTGCTCGTGTGTGGCAATACGTGACTTTGGAGAGCGCACCAGGGCTCTCAACATGCTGTTGGGTCAGCTAGCGGGATAAAGGGCCTGGAGTTTCTTTGGGTGGATAGCGAAGAGGTACAAAATGAGACCAAAAAGGAGACCTTATTTTTACTACACGGCGCAAATTCTTTTTTTATTTATATTATTTATTATTTGAATTATTTATATTTGTAAATGACCAACCGGGGTGCATCGTCTTGCTTTTGATGCTACACGAATCGTGAGAAAAAGAATAGAAGGAACACCTTTGGCTGCATTTCTGTTTCTTTTTTTTTCCCCCTTTATTTTTTTCCCCAATACTGCACACATGAACTAGCAAGACACCATTGGTCAATTTATTCAAATGAAACGTAAAAAAGACCATATAAAAGCTACTCAGGCTTTGTAAACCAGCTGACACACGTGAAGGGTACCAAGGAATCCATCAGATAAATTATACCACTACTTCAAAAATCTCCAGTCATTGGAAAAAACAACAAAAAGAAATTTCACTACAATCATATTTACCGCTACAACCACTAATACGGTTAATAATAAGACCCTTGTTTTGCCTTCGCGAAATTCGTTGTTATGCCGTCTTCATGCCTGCCGCGCTCCTATTTTACCGTTATCATTATTACTATTATTGTTTCTATTACCATTATTATTGTTTTTTTGCGGCGGTGATCGAAAACCTCTAGGCTGATAAGTAAGGCTACACAAGCGAAAATACACACAAAGAGATGCCATCCAAGAAGCAGACTGATGTGAGTGGTGGGGACAGGCAGCCCGACGAGACTCCCACATTTTGCTCGTTGGAGAACCTGAAGGTTGCACAAGTGCAGGTGGTTGGTGGAACACTGAACGGATTCTCAATTGGCTTTGTTGCCGTGTATGCTTATTTCTACCTGATGTCCACGGACTGCTCGATGTACAAGAAGGAGGTGGCTTGCAACAGGGTATTGAACGCGGAGTGTTCTTGGAGCAAAACACGTGGGGAATGCGGCTGGAACGGCTTAACATGCTTTTGGGGGTACGGTAAGGATAAGGATTCATGCCTTGCGGACGGCAGGTGCAAGTGGGTGTACAGCGACGAAGAGTGCAAGAATCCGACTGGGTACAGCTCGTCCTATAACGGCATCTTTGCTGGTGCGATGATTGTTGGCGCAATGATTGGGTCGATCTATGCCGGGCAGTTTGCCGCGAGGTTTGGTCACAAGGTGTCGTTCCTGATCGTCGGCATCGTTGGCGTTGTGTCATCCGTGATGTACCATGTGTCCTCGGCAACGAATGAGTTTTGGGTGCTGTGCGTTGGTCGTCTACTGATAGGTGTTGTACTCGGTCTTGTGAACGTTGCATGCCCCATGTATGTCGACCAGAACGCCCACCCGAAGTTCCTTCACGTGGACGGTGTTCTGTTTCAGGTGTTCACCACGTTTGGCATTATGTTTGCTGCAGCGATGGGGTTGGCTATTGGGCAAAGCGTCAACTTTGACAAGGACACCAAAATGGATGCCCGCATGCAGGGCTACTGTGCCTTTTCTACGCTGTTGTCGGTGCTCATGGTCGCGCTTGGTATCTTCTTGGGCGAGAGCAAGACGAAGTTTACGAGCGGCAAGCACGAGGACGATGGCACTGCGCTGGACCCGAACGAGTACAGCTACTTGCAGATGCTTGGACCTTTGGCGATGGGACTAGTGACTTCCGGGACGCTGCAACTGACTGGCATCAATGCCGTGATGAATTACGCGCCAAAGATTATGGGCAACTTGGGGATGGTGCCTCTTGTGGGCAACTTCGTGGTGATGGCGTGGAACTTTGTGACAACTCTCGTCTCGATTCCACTTGCCCGGGTCCTCACGATGCGCCAGCTGTTTCTTGGTGCCTCGCTTGTGGCGTCGGTCTCGTGTCTGCTCTTGTGCGGGGTCCCTGTGTACCCCGGCGTTGCCGATAAGAACGTGAAGAATGGCGTTGCGATCACTGGAATTGCCATATTCATCGCCGCGTTTGAGATTGGCCTTGGACCGTGCTTCTTTGTGCTTGCCCAGGAACTGTTCCCACGCTCTTTCCGTCCGAGGGGTGCGTCCTTCGTGCTCCTGACGAATTTCATCTTTAATGTTATCATCAACGTCTGCTACCCGATCGCGACGGAGGGCATCTCTGGCGGCCCGTCTGGCAACCAGGACAAGGGTCAGGCAGTCGCGTTCATCTTTTTTGGCTGCATTGGTCTTGTCTGCTTCGTTCTGCAGGTGTTCTTCTTGTACCCGTGGGAGGAGAGCACTCCTCAGAACCACGGCGACACCAACGAAGAGTCCGCGCTTCCAGAACAGCAGTCGCCGATTGAGGTTGCCACCCCTGGCAACCGTCAACCCGCGTGAGTGTGTCGTGTGGCACCGTGTGAGACGTGAGACCAATATATCTCACGGCAAAATAAAACGCAAAACGAGGGTGCAGGACTGCGTTGCTGCTGACGACACTGCGAAAACCGCGCTCTCCATCGCAGGTGTCGTCCGATGGGGTTGGCGCGCAGCACCCGATAGAGCCAAGCGGCATCCTGCGTTTTTCTGGTTACGGGCAACTTTACTCCTTTCTGATTCTAATTGAAAACGTTTTTACATTCTTACTTTGTTTTTATTATAATTTTCCTTTACAAAAGTTGTATTTCTTGTTGTTTTTTTCTTTATTGTTATCCTTCAATTCTTATTTCGTCAGGAAGGATATTTTTGTATCTTGAGCACGTAATTTGTGATGATGCCGGTGGCATTGGTGCGGGAAATCTTTTTTTCTTGTACTATTTGCTCCCAACAGCATTGATATCATGCATCGCCCCTCCTACTGTGATGGATGACGTGGGCCACTATAAAATAGAGGAAAAAGTGATTCTATGTGTTGGGCTCCGCTGTCATAATAAGAGGTGATTATCACCGATTCTGCTTGTCATTGAAGAGAAACTACTGTTTTGTTTTGTACGGGTTCCTATTAGCACGTGACGGCTTGTTGTGTCCTACTGGATCCGCTAAATGCGATGAAAGGGTGATGCGGGTGTAGCAGAGACGTCATGAATGTTCTCAAAGAAGCATTTCTGTCATGCTTCTCTTGTTTTGCCTTCGCGAAAGTCGTTGTTATGCCGTCTTCATGCCTGCCGCGCTCCTATTTTACCGTTATCATTATTACTATTATTGTTTCTATTACCATTATTATTGTTTTTTTGCGGCGGTGGTCGAAAACCTCTAGGCTGATAAGTAAGGCTACACAAGCGAAAATACACACAAAGAGATGCCATCCAAGAAGCAGACTGATGTGAGTGGTGGGGACAGGCAGCCCGACGAGACTCCCACATTTTGCTCGTTGGAGAACCTGAAGGTTGCACAAGTGCAGGTGGTTGGTGGAACACTGAACGGATTCTCAATTGGCTTTGTTGCCGTGTATGCTTATTTCTACCTGATGTCCACGGACTGCTCGATGTACAAGAAGGAGGTGGCTTGCAACAGGGTATTGAACGCGGAGTGTTCTTGGAACGGAACACGTGGGGAATGCGGCTGGAACGGCTTTACCTGCTTTTGGGGGCACGGTAAGGATAAGACGCCATGTTTGGATGATAGCAGGTGCAAGTGGGTGTACAGCGACGAAGAGTGCAAGAATCCGACTGGGTACAGCTCGTCCTATAACGGCATCTTTGCTGGTGCGATGATTGTTGGCGCAATGATTGGGTCGATCTATGCCGGGCAGTTTGCCGCGAGGTTTGGTCACAAGGTGTCGTTCCTGATCGTCGGCATCGTTGGCGTTGTGTCATCCGTGATGTACCATGTGTCCTCGGCAACGAATGAGTTTTGGGTGCTGTGCGTTGGTCGTCTACTGATAGGTGTTGTACTCGGTCTTGTGAACGTTGCATGCCCCATGTATGTCGACCAGAACGCCCACCCGAAGTTCCTTCACGTGGACGGTGTTCTGTTTCAGGTGTTCACCACGTTTGGCATTATGTTTGCTGCAGCGATGGGGTTGGCTATTGGGCAAAGCGTCAACTTTGACAAGGACACCAAAATGGATGCCCGCATGCAGGGCTACTGTGCCTTTTCTACGCTGTTGTCGGTGCTCATGGTCGCGCTTGGTATCTTCTTGGGCGAGAGCAAGACGAAGTTTACGAGCGGCAAGCACGAGGACGATGGCACTGCGCTGGACCCGAACGAGTACAGCTACTTGCAGATGCTTGGACCTTTGGCGATGGGACTAGTGACTTCCGGGACGCTGCAACTGACTGGCATCAATGCCGTGATGAATTACGCGCCAAAGATTATGGGCAACTTGGGGATGGTGCCTCTTGTGGGCAACTTCGTGGTGATGGCGTGGAACTTTGTGACAACTCTCGTCTCGATTCCACTTGCCCGGGTCCTCACGATGCGCCAGCTGTTTCTTGGTGCCTCGCTTGTAGCGTCGGTCTCGTGTCTGCTCTTGTGCGGGGTCC